AAAACCAACAAAGAGTCTTGAGATACATTAAAGGCAAAGTGAATGATGTGAATAGGAAATTTTATTTCTATACAGTGGTACCTCGGGTTACATACGCTTCAGGTTACATACGCTTCAGGTTACAGACTCCGCTAACCCAGAAATATTACCTTGGGTTAAGAACTTTGCTTCAGGATGAGAACCGAAATCGTGCAGCGGCAGCGCAGCAGCAGCAGGAGGCCCCATGAGCTAAAGTGGTGCTTCAGGTTAAGAACAGTTTCAGGTTAAGAACAGACCTCCAGAATGAATTAAGTTCTTAACCCGAGGTACCACTGTATATTCTTTTATGAGGTGGGTGGATGAACAAAGTTTAAACCATTGAATCAAAATCCAATTATATTTATTTAAACTGCATTCCCTTGTATTTTTTGTTAGACAGTACCCCATTCTTTATGCAGTGAAAGATGCCATCTTGGATACCACAAAAAAGTCCGTGAAGGAGAACAATCTTGCTGCTATGATTGTTTCAAATGTGCAGACGGGACAATTTCAAACCAAGTGGGTATGTGATTCAAAAATCTCTGCATTCTAATTTCTGAAAGAAACTGCATCTAGTATTCTTTTCAAATATTCATGCCTTTCTCCATTATTTCATCTTCTCATTTAATACTCAAGGTGCTATCTGTAACCCACAGGAAAACCAGATAGTGTCCCAGAGTTTGATCTGAAAGCATATCAGGCCAACATATTGCTGAAGCTCAGCAAAACTGGGTTTGGTTTGCAGCTAGATTGGTGACCAGCTACAATTAGGGTTTCATGATGGGATGAATGTGAGTTATGAATTCCAGAAAACAAATGCATGGATTTTATTTTACTGGTACAAGGTTAGTTAAAATAAACATTTAATCGAGTGGCAGGAACAAGATTTGGAATTTAAGGGACTACAAATTATTTTGTGCATTTTCATCCTATAGGAAATTGGGGGGGGGGGAATGATTACCCTGCACTTCAAAACTGTTTAGTGTCAGATTGACAGTAAAGTATACAACTGGATAATGTAGGATATTACCTGTTCAAGGGTAGGGTTGCCATATGTCTGGGATTTCCTGAACATGTCCTTTTTCTGGGCACCAGCACACCCATGTAGGTGTATTTTATCATTTTACCCAAAATGTCCGGGTTTGGAATCTGTTTAGTTATCTCTTTACCTATTTATCTCTTTACCTATTTATCTATTAAAATAAATGCACCAGCTGACAGCGCCACAGCTGCCAAGCGCTGCCAAGGAAGGAGGATGGGGTGCAGGTGTGAAACTTGGAGGGGGGGCAGGGGCACGAGGTAGGCGCACGGGAGTGAGCAGGGCTCTGGAGGGCGGCGGCAGTGTAATGCATGCATGCTTGGAGTGCACTCAGCCCTCCAGGTCACCTTGTGGGTTATGTCCTGTACAGGCAGGTCACTGATTTCCCACTCACCGCACCACTGCCGATCACTCGCTCATTCACTCCACTGCCGCCAGTCGCCCCCTGTCCACCCATTCACCCAACCTCCTGCCTCACACCACAGCCAACCTACAAATGTGTCTGGGTTTTTGCTTTTTTTAATATGGCAACCCTATTCAGGGGTGATACTTCTACAACAGCTCTGTGCTGGTTTTGACCCATTAATCCAGGGATGGCTCTCTATATGTTGTTGGACTGCAACTTCCATCAGCAGTAACTATATGGTAAATGGTCAGGAATGGTTGAAGCTGTAGTTCAATTAAGAAAACCTGGAAGGCAACAAGCTCCCCCTACCTGCATTAATTCCACCATCCTTGAAAAGTGTTTTACTCATCTGAAAGTACTCTGTTTTGGTTTGGGTTGCTTTCAGACCAAGGAGGCACCAAAAAATAGAAAGCATGCAATCACATGGAGCAGGTTGGCTATATTACATAAGACATTTAAAAGAGGTATGTACCTGTTATTCAGACGGTATATTTATTTCTTACAGATGCAGATAAGTGTGAAAAATGTCCAGAAGATGAACATCCAAACAACAATAAAAACAGATGTATCTCTAAAGTCATAACTTGTCTAGTCTATGATGACATTTTAGGAATCAATTTGTCTTCTGTGGCAGTCTCTTTTGCGCTGTTCACAGCCCTGGTACTTGGAACCTTCATCAAACACCAGAATACCCCCATTGTCAAAGCCAACAATCGGGACCTTACCTACCTTCTGCTAATCTCCCTTTTGCTCTGCTTCCTTTGCTCCTTGCTGTTCATTGGACGACCCAGCAAGGTGACCTGCCTTATTCGACAAGCTACCTTTGGAAACATATTCTCTCTTGCCCTTTCCTGTGTCCTGGCTAAGACCATCATTGTGGTTGTGGCATTTATGGCCACAAGGCCTGGAAGCAAGATGAGGAAATGGGTGGGCAAAAGACTATCCAACTATTTTATCCTTTTTGGCTCTCTTGTTCAAGTTGGCATCTGTTCTGTCTGGCTATTCACTTCTCCTCCATTCCCAGACCTTGATATGATCACACAGCCTGAGGAAATTGTGTTGCAATGTAATGAAGGCTCAGATGCCATGTTTTACACGGTCCTGGGCTACATGGGCCTTCAGGCCAGTGTCAGCTTCACAGTGGCCTTCCTAGCCAGGAAACTGCCTGACAGTTTCAATGAAGCCAAGTTTATAACCTTCAGCATGTTGGTCTTCTGCAGTGTCTGGATGTCTTTCATTCCAGCCTATCTGAGTACCAAAGGCAAAGACATGGTGGCTGTGGAGATCTTCTCCATTCTGGCCTCGAGTGCTGGGTTGCTGGGATGCATATTTGTCCCTAAAATGTACATCATTATTTTGAAGCCAGAAATGAACACAAGGGACCAATTCTTTAAGAAAAAAGAATTTCATTAGGCATGCCATATCTTGAAGAGCAAAAAGGAGAACAGCCTGAGCCACTGCTATCCTGAGCCAGGAAAAGAGGTATGTGGATGCACAGGGCTGTTGCTCCACCTGTGCACCTCTTTCCCCAGCTCAGGCTGGCAGTGGTTGCAGCATGCAGAACAGCACAAGTCCAAGCCGAAGCTGCCCAAGCCTCCCGAGCCCCAACCCCCCTGACATTTCCTTTAAAATGTAAAAATCCACCTGGAAGGGTGGATAAAGATCTATTTTACTCATAAGTAAAGTATTCTGCTGTTATATTTTGAGACAATAAGTATGGAGAGACAATGAAAGGGGAAAAGTGGTGTTTGAAAGCAACAGGAGACATCTGAATAGATTGGGAAGAAAACATTGGGTTAATTTTTGGGTTGTTTGGTTTTTTGAAAAGATAACCTATATTTGCTTGCCTAGATACTATTTTCTCATCATTAAAACACATGAATACATTTAATTCTCACTAGGCTAAATTGTTCAAGACCCAAGAGACATGCATTCTTGGAGATACTAATCCTACTAATAAGAATTGATATAGCAGCCAGTGCTCACTGCTTTGGAATAAAAGGACACTGCTTATGATGATTTCTCCTATAGTTTATTTCATTGCATGTTGTAAACAACTATTATAACATATCTGGATTCATTTACAATAGTCCTTGTTTATGAATTTGTTTTTTGACAATAGACACAAAGGACAAAAACAGACCCTGAACTCAAAGTGACAATTTTAAGCCTGTACAGTAAGTCTGTTGCAATTTTAGTTTCAGTGTGTTAATTTGGTTTGCAGTGACTCAGATCTGAGATTTAATTTCATTTTTATCATTATTGCTATTGTTTCCCCCCCTCCATCAAGATGTTTGTCCTTCATAGTCCAGTGAGATGGACTTATTTATTTATTTATTTATAAACAATAAAATTAATCTAAATGTATCAGTAAATGTTAGGCGTTCAAATTGCCTAAGGCTAAGAAACTCAGGATGCAGCCCAGCCAAAATAAGTGTATGGTTAACTTCCGCCTATTGAAATCTATGAGCCAAGGAGAAGAATTATATTGTAATATATCCTGGGATGAGTGGGGTTAGAATCCAGCACTTGTCTGGCTGAGCTGAGGGGTTCCTAGCATAGCAAGGCTATGACAGCATAACTCCCCATTCCTGGTTTAGCTGGAGATACACTGCTGTATCTACCCCACCCCAGCTCGGCTGGAATCCAGCCAGGTGAGCCAAGCCCAGCAGATCTTAAGTCAGCATAAAGAGTGAAAAGGGACATTCCAGGGCATTCCAGGACCAGTGAGGAGGATGAGGCTAAATCCCAGGCCAGCTTGATCACATGACTTGGCAACCTTGCAAAAGTTAAGCCGGCAAATAGGGTGGTGTAACTTAAGCCCATCTCCTGCACAGAGTTTGGATCTGGTGAAACCTACACCAGTTTACTTATGCCTGGCTTACTTGATGTCAGTTTCTTGTGCATAGGATTTTTCCTAAAGACAAATTTAGTTTGATTATGTCACCCCAAATATTTTGTTTTAATTGCAACACATCACTTCTCCTAATAATAATATTCTGGTGTCTCAATAAACTTGCTTAGAATTCCTATTCAGTTCAAAGCACATGCCTTGAACGTGCACTGGATTGCAGCCTGAGAATATTATTAATAACAAACAAACCTGTCAACAATTCAACAAAAGTATCTTTGGACAGATTCTTCCTCCTTGACTTTCAATTTACTTGCATAGAATTTCAGCTACAGTTTTTGTATCCCAGCCTTCAGTTATTGGGGAGGAGATGGAAATGGAAATGTTTCTTGCCAACGAAGATGCAATAATACTTAAGTGCTACTGAAGAGTTTATTAATTTATTTTATTACAATTGTATACACACTTTCAAAAAGAATTGTATTCCCACTTTCAAAAAGAATTTCCTAAACTGTATTAATATTTTGCACTGGGTTAAACTTCATGGTATCTCCATACTTCCATTAGAGGAATATAGGAAGCTGTCTTATACGGAGTCACACTACTGGTCCATGTAGCTTAGTATTATATACACTGCCAGTCAGTGGCTACTTAGGTTTCAGACAGGATTCTTTTCCAGCACCACCTGGAGAGATCAGGAATTGAACCCGGAGCCTTCTGCATGCAAAGCAGATGCTCTACCATTGTGCAATGACTTCTCATAGAAATGTCACATCCAGAAATGTTGTTTACAATTGTAAAAAAGAAATCTTTAACTGTTTTATCCACACAAAAACCCAAACAAACTCTATGAAATTTTGCACTTTCCAAAATTCTGCTGGAACATTTTGTCTAGAAATTGGTTCTATAATTCTATGATTGCAGCATCTGTTCCAACTTTTTATTATTTCCAGTTTTCAAATTCATATTTTCAATAGTTTATCCATACCCATGCCCTTTCTGTGTTTGTGAACAGGCTTGCACCTTAATGAGAGAAGAGGATGGGGACAAAGCCAAGAGTGTCTTGCATAGTTTGCTGATATTTACTGGGATTTTTTAAAAATAAGAAGACATGACATTGAAACACTGTTTGTTTGTTTGTTTGTTTGTTTGTTTGTTTGTTGTAGATGCAAGAATACTGGTTTGTGGAACCTCTGAACCATACCATAGTGACAACGTTCATTATTCTGGGCTTCCCTAATACTCGGAAGGTGGAAATTGCCCTCTTTTTTCTGTTCCTTGCTATGTACCTTCTTACAATGACTGGCAACATAATCATAATCATAACAGTTAAGACAGACAGCCATCTTCAAACCCCCATGTACTTCTTCCTGGGAAACCTCTCTTTCTTGGACATTGGCTATACATCTTCAACAGTCCCTAAGCTGCTGTCCATCTTGTTGATGGGGGTGCACACAATTTCCTTTGCTGCCTGTTTGCTACAGTCCTACTTCTTCTTTTTTCTTGGGACAGCTGAGTGCTTCCTCCTTGCAGTGATGGCCTATGACCGATATGTGGCCATATGCTATCCACTCAGATATTCAACAATCATGAATAAAAGAGTGTGTGTGTTTCTCGTAGTTGCCTGCTGGGCAGGAGGCTGTCTGGCCCCTATGGTAGCTGCCATAGTGGTGGTGAATTTACCCTTTTGTGGACCCAATGTCATAAACCATTTCTTTTGTGATATTCCACCATTACTAAAACTGGCTTGCGTAGACACATCTCTTACACAGAAGATTGTATTCTTCCTTTCTGCTATGGTAATTCTGAGCACGTTCCTGTCCACTGTTGTCTCCTATATATACATTAGTATAACCATATTGAGAATACCTTCCTCACATGGGCGCCACAAGGCTTTCTCCACTTGTGCCTCCCATCTTACTGTCGTCTCTCTATATTATGGGACAGTGATCTTCATGTATGTAAGTCCAACTACCCGTTCATCTTTTGACCTGAACAAAATCATAGCTGTGGTGTACAGTGTAGTTACTCCAATGCTCAACCCTATGATCTACACCTTGAGGAATAAGGATATGAAAGCAGCATTGAAAAAAATAATCCTCAAAGTGCAGATTGCTAATAAGAAGTTTGATTTCCCCAGTGAATTCAGTCGCTGAGAAAATTATGTCTGCAATGGTGAAAATGGAACATCATATGTACCAGACGGGTGGATTTGCATCCAGGGATGGGCATATTAGTCTATTTCTGCTCCATGTAACTTTAGCATGTGTGTGATCCAACCCATCTCATTGCCACATCGGTCTACAGCTCCTTTTTAATCTAAATAGAAATATCCAATAAAATATGTTTGCATTCAGACTTCTCTGAAAAAAATAATTTTTTAAAAAATCTCTCAAAACATGCATGTTATTTGTTGTTTGAGCAGAGAACTGTGTCAAAACATATGGGAAGTATGAACACTGGTAATCATCAACATATTCAATCTGAAGTGAACATGGCAGAGCGAACTGAAAAGTAGCTCCCAAGTATTAAGAATCATTGACTTGTTCTCCAACATGCCCATAACAAAATAATTAATAGTGGAATATGCAATTATCAATTTTCTTGGCCATTTTTTCTTGTGCCTCATCCTTATCCGATGCAAGAAATAAAGGGGGTGTACAAGTAACTTCCTCTAAGCTACTTCAAGTCTTGCTCTGAGCTTCCAAACTGAAATGGAGCTGATTTTATGAATGTTACTAATGATGTATAAAGTATATTAATTTGCTTTATTTTTCATTTTTAAATTATTCTTTTTTTATAAGCATTAGGCACTCTTCTACTTTATATACCTTTGCACTTTCACACCCACACACATCCATATTTCTACTGCTTATTAGGAAGTATAGGGGATGGGAAGAGGTGGAAAAGAGGTTATTAGCAAGCTTGTGCTTGCTTGGAAACAAACTGACCAAATTTCAATGCACAACTCTATGGGAATGGTAGCTGGGTACTGGAACACACTCTCAATTCAATTAGAAGAGGCCCTCTTAGCAAGCCAGAGTCCCATGTAAACAGTGCGCCCCAGACTATATCCAGCATACTTTGATATATACCAAAGGGGGTCCTTCACAAACAAATCAGTATCAAAAATTTCCCAGAAAATAGTAAACAAGTAGGAGCAGGTATGTAGCTTGCAGGTGCTTCTGGAAACATCTCTGTCACTTGAGGGACAGGTAACCTTAGTGGCTAGGAAGGCCTATGCCTGGGTTTGGTTGATGTGATGTTGTTGTTGTTTAGTCATTTAGTCGTGTCCGACTCTTCGTCACCCCATGGACCAGAGCACGCCAGGCACTCCTGTCTTCCACTGCCTCCCGCAGTTTGGTCAGACTCATGCTGGTAGCTTCGAGAACACTATCCAACCATCTCATCCTCTGTCTTCCCCTTCTCCTTGTGCCCTCCATCTTTCCCAACATCAGGGTCTTTTCCAGGGAGTCTTCTCTTCTCATGAGGTGGCCAAAGTATTGGAGCCTCAGCTTCAGGATCTGTCCTTCCAGTGAGTACTCAGGGCTGATTTCTTTCAGAATGGAGAGGTTTGATCTTCTTGCAGTCCATGGGACTCTCAAGAGTCTCCTCCAGCACCATAACTGTGGTCATTTCTGGATAAAGATAGGCTAGCCATGGTTATTCATGCAGTGCCAACCTCCAATTGCAATGCATTTTACATGGGACTGCCTTTGAAGATAGTCTGGAAATTGTAGCTTTTGCAAGTAAGCTGGGAGGGCCAATATTCTCTGAGCATGCTATCACTATCTTAAATAAATTACCACTGCCATTCCCTGCCTTCCAGCATTTAATACCTGAGGTTGACACCTCTCTTTGCCTAATAGTAGGGTCACTCCTTCTGAGGAGATATGGGATACAGGAATTAAGCATTATCCCATGCTGAACAGGTGGTAGAATGTACAGTCCTAATAGCTATACTGCACATAGAGTAACAGCAGTTTCATGGGATTGGCTCTTATTCTCATCAATGCTATCATCCAACTGAATAACTTCAATCAAAAGAAATTAAGAAAGAAACAAGTCTTGGCAAATAATTGTAAAAAAGAAAGCAAGTTGATTAATAAAAATAATATTGTACAATAAAAGTTCATTACATGCTGTATTTCCCCTGTAATTCCTGTACCCTTCAAGTTATTGAATATATATTTTCCTAAAAATTGAAGATACTTTTTGAAAATAATTATAACATAACTTTATATAAGATATAAAACTGATAAAAGAAAGCCCATCCATACATCCAAATCACCATTTTATATCATAGTCATCAAGTCATGCACATGCCAGATCTATGTTAATGATCAACAAATAATATTGTGTTCTGGGCAAATATTCTCCTGCACAATGTCCTTTTCAATGCACCTTTTACCTCTTTGTTTCTCAGGCTATAGATGATTGGATTTAACATGGGTGTGATGACTGTGTAGGACAGGGAGAGGATTTTCTTTGTATCTGGTGAGTAACTGGATTTGGGCCGGAAATAGGTAGATGTAGCTGTACCGTAAAACAAAGTAACCACTACGAGATGAGATGAACATGTTGAGAAGGCTTTATGTCGTCCCTCTGCTGAAGGCATGCTCAGGATAGTGGTGATGATGCGAACATATGTGAGGAGAATCAAGAGGAAGGGAAACATGATGAAGAGCACAGTGGCCGTGAGAGCTTCAATTTCAAACATGTAAGTATCAGCACAAGCCAACTCTAGAACAGGGGGACTGTCACAGAAGAAATGGTTGACTTTATTAGGTCCACAAAATGGCAAACTGAAGATCCACGTGGTCTGTACAGTAGAGACAGGGAAGCCTGAGAACCATGATGCAGCAGCTAACTGGAAGCAGGTCCTTCTGTTCATAATGTCTGGATAACGTAAGGGATTGCAGATGGCAATGTAACGGTCATATGCCATGGCAGCAAGAAGACAGCACTCAGCTGCACCAAAGAAGAAGAAGAAATACATTTGTGTGGCACAGCCAGCATAGGAAATGGTCTTGTTCTCTATCAGAAAATTGACCAGCATCTTTGGGACAATGACCAAATTGAAGCAGATCTCCAAGAAAGAAAGGTTCCGGAGAAAGAAATACATGGGGCTTTGAAGTGAAAGGTCCAAGGTTGTGACAAGAACAATTAGGACATTTCCTGACAAAGTTATCCCATAGATGATAAGGAAGAGGATGAAAAGAGGTACCTGAAGCTCAGGGTGATTGGAAAAGCCAATAAGGATGAATTCTGTAACACTGGTCCAATTGTCTTGGGTAATTAACTTTTTCTCAGTCTGTGTCATCATGTCTTGAACACTGTTAGATAAAGCTGTCAGGGTGTTCCTTCTTCTATAAGCAAATTTCTAAAGAGATGGTAGTGTCTCTCTACCACTCTTCAACCATTGAACTTGTTCCTTTCTGTTAGTAGAAAGCAATAAAGGATGGACAGGTCAAATATGGGCAGTTTAAGGCAGGATAAGGGGAAATGTATTGTCATCAGTCTTTAAAAGTTGACTTACTCAGTATAATTGTCCATCACTTTGTTAATCAGTGTCTTGTTCTTTAATGTGCTCATTTTGTTCTCAATGCATTTCTCCCTCTCCAACACCCTGCATTACACAACAATTTCTTGTAGGAGCTTCAAATAAAATAAAATAAAATAAAATAAAATAAAATAAAATAAAATAAAATAAAATAAAATGCTATAGTGTCCGTAGGAGAGTTGTTCACTCCCTTATTGAGAAACTGTTAGATGGAATATCTTACATGTTTAACTGTGGCTGGGAAAAATCTATTCGAAACATAACCATTACGTTTACAGAATTGGTTGGGAGATAGCCCATACCTTTTGGCTCTATGACTGAAATGCTCCACTTACTAATTTGCAAGTGTAATTTCAAATAAGACCTCTGCAAACTATCTGTTTAGATTTCTCTCAAGAATGATCTACCTGTATTTCACCAAATAATCATTGCCACTGCAAAATAGCTATACCCCTTTTTGGGGGCCCTAAAATCAGTCCCAAAGGATTCACCGCATAATCATTGCAGGAGTGAAAATACCTTTCCAAAGAATGAAAATCCCTTGCGAGTGAGGTGTTTCATTTTGCTCTGAAGCTGTTGTTTACTTTCAACAGCATTTCTCTGCTTTTAAAAATTAAATGGCTCTTGGTGCAGCTGTTTCCCAGGCTCTTCCTGTTCTGCTGTGGGCCCACGCCTGCCTGTGGGCCTTGCCTGTTGGCTGAGCCAGCCCTCAGCCCATGGAGAACGAGGCAGCCTCACACAGGGAGCAAAGGCAGTGGTGGCAGCTGAGGAGGCCCAGCCCAAGACCCAGCAATGGAGGAGAAATTTGGCAGGGGAAGGGATGATGGTGAGGTCCTGCCTGGAGGCACACAGCTGGGACCCGCAGATTTGCCCAGCACCCAGTAACTGCGTGTGCCAGGGAGCAAGCAGCAGAGGCGTGCATGCCTGAGGCAGGGCCAGTGCAGAGGGCGAGTGTGGTGTAGTGGTTAAGAGCGGTAGACTCATAATCTGGTGAACCGGGTTCATGTCTCCGCTCCTCCACATGCAGCTGCTGGGTGACCTTGGGCTAGTCACACTTCTCTGAATTCTCTCAGCCCCACTCACCTCACAGAGTGTTTGTCGTGAGGGAGGAAGGGAAAGGAGAATGTTAGCTGCTTTGAGACTCCTTCGGGTAGTGATAAAGCGGGATATCAAATCCAAACTCTTCTTCTTCTTCTCCATGTGGGGCTCACGGGGCAGGGAATGTAGGGTTTCTTACTGCAGATCTGTCTCCTCCCAGGCGTCCCCAAATGCAGCAGCACACAAACGCTCTCCCCACACCCACTTTTATTCTTGCATAATCACCACACACCCCTTTTTGGAAATAAAAATTAACATAAAAATGTAATGATTATGTGGTGAAATACAGTATCTATTCCCTGCATATCACAAACTGCTTTGGGAATTCTCCCAATTTCAACCTGGCTGCCATGGTGGGCAGTAAAGTGGGAGCCCCGGTCAAGACATACAAATTCAAAGACCCCTTGAGTGCTCAGAGCTAGTCACACAGTTCTTTGTAGGCTCCTCCTCAAGCTGTCCAGTGTATGTGAGTTGACATTTATTTTACATCTATGACTCCACCTAGCTCCTAGCTGCAATTGGTGAAGCTATGGGGCAGTGCCAATTTGTATTTCCTTTTCTTCAATCTGTCTCCCGTTTAGTGGTGGTGGGCTTTAAGCTTCCCAGCCAGGCCTCTACTGTTCTGAGCTGTCCTAGCCATCCACCTGAATATAAGAGAATGAGGGGTGCGGGGACATTTATTTGACTTGCACAGAACTAGGAGCACTGGTATCTGTTCAGGACTGACCTGCATCACCCAGCAACTTACTATAACAACTTCACAGTGAGTTCTGGCACATATTTTCTTGGAAAAAAGCACTGAGGAAATGGGATGGGTGTTTGGCTAATCATTTGTTCATTTCTTACAAGTTCCTCTGTTTTGTTTACCTTGTCCATACCTTGTCCATAAACTTAGTAAGAAAAGACCATTTATCTTGCTTGTTTCCTGAATCATGACTTTACTTTTGGAGGAAGATTGCGCTCTCTCTTTCTCACGCTCTCTCTCTCTCTCTCTGTGTGATAATTAAAGTTTGCTGATAACACCAAATTAGTGTGCTAATCTTTAATATTAAGAGGTCAGGAATTTTTACACAAACCTTTTAGCTTATGTTTAAGATAAAGACTAGCACCAGGGTCATGATAGTTTATTGATGGTATATTTTATATCAAGTTTTGCCAACTTTACTGATGGTATTATCTACAGGGGATGAGGGGAGCCATAGGAAAAGTTCCGATGGGTACACATCACTACATTTGGAGATGGTGAAGTCTCCTTCACTGGAAGCAATTAACCAGAGGATGATATGCTATTTATCTGGGGTGCTGAAAGTGCAAAGGTGTTGTACTGGACAGGGGCTGGAGGTGGACTAAAATTATGGAGGTTTACTCCAAACTTATGTGAATTCTCCATTTATCACGTATAGTGATGTAGAATGCAGGCTAATGCAAGTGGACAGAATACAGTATGAAATGGAAAGGAAGCTTTGCTGATTCTAAATTAGTGTTATATCATATAAATCAAAGTGAAGAATCACACAATGTCCACAGTCAAAATGGGATGCTAGACTAGATTGGCCTGATCCAGCAAGCTTCTTCTTATGTTCTTATTCCTAAATTGGAATAGGTGATAAAAAACCCAGAAATGTATGTGAATACACTAAGGTTGAACTCATAAATTTCCTGTTGAGCAGCAGCTACATGGCAAAGGTTTGCTAAGTAAAAATGAATAAATTATTTGCCTACCTGCAGAATCTTAGGAGCTTAGGAGCCACCCAGATTGTGAAAGATTTGTGCTTTGGTGACCAAGTTTGATTATATGAATTTCCTTAAGTGACACCTGGGATTAGATTGTCCCCTCTTCATTCTCCCTAGAGTAGTTAATGCTAATTGTGTAATATCTGATTAAACCAAATGTTTACTTTTCGGAAAACACAGATACAATTATGTTAACAGGGATGTTTTCCCTACTGACATTTTGTGGGTGGAATAGAACATGTTTAAAGTAATATGCTGTTTGCCCTATCCACAAGAGTAGATTAACAGTCTAGATTAATTTTAATTCTGATATAGGTTTCTGTCTTCATCAGCTGTGCATTTTCTCATCAGTACTTACAACAGTTAATGAGACAGAGGGCTGTATTCCCACCCTCCCCAACAGTATCCAAGATACAGGCTCAGACCACATGGTGGAAGCAACGTGAGACCCACATTGAGCAAAAGGTACCTGCATTGCAGGTAGTTGGCCTAGATGACCCTTGGGGTCCCTTCCAACTCCACAACTCTATGATTTTATGTTCTTAGCATGGCATGGGGTGCTGTACAAATTATCAGTTTTATATGAAACTATTACTTTATTGTGATAGCAACCCATAATGGGTTGTATTGAAATGATGCTTTTCTCCAACAGAAGGAACTTCTTCCAAGGAAGATCATTCCACTGGAAGAAGTGTGTTTCAAAGGAGGAGGAGAATCTTTGGATCCAACACCTTAAGACAATCTAAAGAAATAATGCACTGAAGTTCATATATAGGAAATATATAAACCAACCAAACTAACACATACATGTTCTTATTTGCAGCGCTAACAAGCACTGGCACAAAATATTTTTAACAACCACCATGAAGTGCTTGGTCCATTCATTTTTCACATTGTCCCCAATGCCTTCCCTGTGCATCCTGATCCCTCCTTCCCTGTTGACAGTCCTCCAGTGAGTGGAGAGCTGCATTCACAATAGCTGTACACTTATGCAGGGCTTGTCTCCAGATGTTGGACTGCAGCTCTCATCCTCCCTGCCCTTTGGCCATGTTGGCTGGGGCTGATGAGAACTGGAACTAAGCAATGTCAGCAGGGCATTGGCTATGCCTGACTTTATGGCAAGCTAGGGAATTGAGTGGATCCAGTCCTAACATATTTTTTTCTATCAAGATTCTCAATCACAGAGCAACAGAAGGGGTCACTTATAATTTTATATCTCATTCTCAAAATATATTTTCAAAACAGGGAGATATGTTAAAATGCAACAACAAGAAATAACTGAAGGGATACTTCAATCTGTTACCTTTGTAGGGTAGATGCAGGTGAGTAAGGAACATAGGAAGTTGCCATATGCAGTCAAACCACTAGTTCATCTAGTTCAATATTGTCTACATTGTCTATGAGTGGATCTCCAAGATTTTAGACACTGAGTTTCTCTTAGCCCTTTTTGTCATTGTTGAAGACTCAGCCTGGGTTCTTCTGCATGCAAAACAGATGCACCACTACTGAACTACATCCCTGGAACCCTTCCAGTCTTTCATGCGATTACAGATGCAATTGCAGTGTTTTTCTACTCAAAAGTCTCTTCGTGGCTTCTTTCACTTCCTTGTTTCTCAAACTGTAGATGATGGGATTCAGCATGGGAGTGACAACTGTGTACGATAAGGACAACAGCTTTTGGGTGTTTGGAGAATAACTGGATTTGGGTCGGAAATAAGTTAACCCAGCTGTGCCGTAGAACAAAGTCACCACAACAAGATGTGAAGAGCAAGTGGAAAAGGCTTTGTGTCTGCCTTCGGCTGATGGCATTCGTAAGATCGTAGTGATGATATGAACATAAGAGACCAAGATTAGGATAAATGGGGATAGTACAATTACAATAGTTCCTGTGAGAGCATACAGCTCAAACAGATAAGTGTCTGCACAGACTAGTTTTAACACTGGTGGACCATCACAAAAAAAATGATTGACCTTATTGGGACCACAGAATGGAAAACTAAATAGCCATGTTGTCTGAACTGTCCCCACTGGAACTCCTGAGCACCAGGAGAACAGGGCCAGATGGATGCAAAACCTCTTTTTCATAATTACTGTATAGTGCAAAGGGCTGCATATGGCTATATAGCGGTCATAAGCCATGGAAGCCAGGAGAAAACACTCAGAACTTCCAAAAAAGAAAAAGAAATACATTTGCATGACACACCCAGGGAAGGAAATGGTTTTGTTCTCTGAAAGGAGGTTCACTAACATTTGAGGGACTATAACTAGAGTGAAGCAGATCTCCAAGAAAGACAAATTCCTGAGAAAAAAATACATGGGGTTTTGAAGGGCTGGATCAATTGTTGTGAGCAAAATGATGGTGATATTTCCCAATAAGGTCACAATATACATAATCGCAAATACCAGAAAAAGCAGAAGCTGCAGCTGAAGAAGATCAGAAAACCCCAGCAAAATAAACTCAGTGACATCACTACTGTTTGTCCATGCCATTCTTTATTATTTACTAAGAAGTTAAGGGAAGGGAGTGGTTATCCCCACCCCCCGTTATGTTCTTCCTGTAATGCTAACCAGACTCAAAGGAATTGTGATAAGAACAATACACTGCACAAACCTTTAAGAATTGCTACACCACAATACAATATGTTTTGGAATGCTTTTCAAAAATGAATGTTTCTGGTTGTGGTAACAGCACCTCAGGTTGATCTCCAAGTATGCATCTTAAGATGCATCACAAAACATGGTGATAATGTTGGGAAACCATGGCATGGTGCGGATTATGGGAAAGTGAAAAAATCCAATATGCTTTTGCAGTATAACAGCTGCATTTCTCACTGGACATCCAGTCTTCATTTGGAGCCGTCATTTTTCTTTGTAGAATAGAAAATAACATCTATAAAGGAAAGGAGCAGAGGAAGAAAAAAATAAATGAAAACTTGGCATTATGAGGCTGTCATTGGACAAACAAGTATAGCTTATATAAGGTTATTATTAAAATATTTCAGTTCTAAACTCCTTGAAATGCATGTTAAAGATTCCTTTCTTTCATAAATGCTTAAACCAATGTTCTAAATTTAACTCTTCTAATGACAAGAACTGTTTTGTGTCTGCAGAATAAATTACCTGTTCCATATAGTCACATGACACTAAAAATGGCAAGCTACACATATTTTGATATACCCCAAAATTCCAGAGAGATGCTGATGGATGATGTGAGTTGTAGTCCAACATCATCGGGGGGGGGGGTCAGTTCTTTATCCTTGCATGATGTGACCCTGTGCTTTCTTCATTAGGGTAATTAACATTTCTTTTGATAAATTGTGACAAATATCCCCATTTTGTAGAATTCCAAAAAAACAAACAATCCAAGAAACAAGAAAAAAAACCTAGTACGCCTGAATAAGGATGGGGAAGAAATTGAATTCAATACCCATTTAATGGTGAACTTACCTAATCCACACTTCTCAAAACAATATGTAAACAAAACCACAGCCATTCTTTGAAAGTCACACTTTTGTGAATTTTGTAATGGAGTTCTCCAGCAAAACAAAGCTGACATATCCACCCATCCCTGCTCTGGAGTTTGTTGGCAATTATGTAAGGTGAAAACAGCAAATCATACCTTGTAGTAAAATCTTTGATTGCAAAGAAGAGCAGCAAATGTTTTTTATCTGGGTCATCTTTAATCACAGGAGGTTTGCGGGTGTAAGAAGTTGGGACTCTGGAACCCTGGAGGCTTCATTAAGTACTCCTACTTCATTGTCTAAACTACTTTTTATTTAGATCTGTGTCGTGTATTGCAATTTCATGTACACCTCTTAGAAATGCGAATAATTAGGTGGTATATAAATGCTTTATAAAAAAAATCAAGGGAAATTGTCAGTGTCCTGTCATATCTGAAAATGTGGTAGATATTATTCTTGAGGAATTTCTGTGTGAATTAATAAGTGAAGTAAACCAAAGCAAACCAATTATAAGCAAAATGATTACATTTTTCAAAAGTGCATGATATCCAGGTTCTCCTTAAGACATCTCTAGAACAAGGGACTCTGTGAATGCAAACTCCGACAAACAGACTAAGAAGTAAGCCTTATTGAAACCAGTGAGATTTAGTTCTGGCTAAACATTAATAGGACCTCACTACATTACTGTGCTAATCTTTAAATTAACATGTTTCAGAAAGATTTGCAAAGTAAGATGAGACACCTATCACTGGACTAACTAAAGCCATTTTATTTAATTTTAACATACCAGGAATATTCATATCATTCTACAGGATACAATGCAGGAGCCATCTAGCGACCATCTCTGCTTCAAACCTGGGCAAAAATCTCCACTATCCACACTTTTAAATTGGCATTTGTTGTTAATTTCATAACATGTGGTTCTCAGAAAGTTTCCAAAAAGAGAAAGTGGCCCCCGGGTGGGGAAAAATATTCCCAATAACACAGTGATATATAACCCCTGCAACATAGTGAACAGTTGCCCCAATCTACTTAGCCCATAGGTGATTAGTTAAACCCACAATGCAACTCAAGTGTGGTGCTGAGACAACAACAGTGAGGTGCTGAGACAACAACAAATGTCCCTGATAGCTGCAAAACTGTCCAGAAGGAGTAGCCTTCCATCAATGTTTAATAATTTGTTATGCAGGAGTTCAGGTGATAATCATAGGTAGTCTCACTAGAAGTGGATGGCATAGTGGGGCTGCACTGATCATCTGACCTCCCTTTGGATGAGTTGTGGCTAAATTCCAGGATGGAAAGCCATCACGGTACAAATTCACCAGCAGGAGCACCTAATGCATTTAATCAAGTCAACCTTGCCCCTCTTCCTCTCCATCCCACCATGCAGCAGCAACTCAACTCAGTCAGGTGAGCTACTGATTTTCACCAAGTTTTTTATGATAGGTGAGTTGTTGTACATCTCTCTGGCTTTTTACAGTGTCATTGATTTAATTAGTAAGCTGTAGTAGAATGCAGGTAAAAAAAATGGGGGGAGCACAATGCTTTTACCTGTCACTCATATGAGTTGCCTCCTCTGACACTGTGATGTCAAGAGATTTTTGTGACCAAATGTATCCTTTTAAAATTAAAAATTAAAATGGCCACACCCACTTTTAAGCTTTAGCCACACCCACTTTTACACTTGAGACACATCCACTTTAATGTGTGCCATGAGTTGCCATGGGTCAATGCAGTCCTTGGCCTGGAAAAGATTTTTCACCCCTGAACTATGTAATACATAAAGAAGACCTATTGAAACCAACTGATTTCAGTAACTTTATCATGTGTCCAGTACTGGGTCTAAGCATTTATTATTTCCATGACTTTATTTATTCAGAATTCTGCAAAATCCATTTGTTGGGATTAAACAGAAAATCAAATATCATTTAATCTATTTCAACAATAGGTCAACGAGGTCAAGGTTCAGATGCTCTTAGATTCTCAAAACCACTCACCAACAGTAGCACCTAGGAATGTCAACACTTTCATGAAAATCAGATATGCCCAGCTGTTTCCTTTCACTTTTAAATTTTAGGGGCAAAATGTCCACACACCAGAATAACTTCAGTTCATTATTCATCTTCTTCCAAAGTCTCAAAACCCCAACATTTAGGAACTTTCCCCTGAAGAGGTTAGAAACACATGAACATTTCTGCCTGGCTGAAAAGGTTGTAAATCCTTTCTATTTCATAAAACCTTTAATTCAGAAATAAAATCAACCAAGAGGAACCTATATATCCCTAGATATGGTTGGACGTCAAATCCCATCAGTCCCAGCCCACATGGATAATGTTCAGAAATGATGGGATTTGTAGTCCAGCAACCTCTAAAGGGTCAAAGGCTCTCCATCCCTGTCCTACAGGAATGCTCCTCAATAACCCCCATGAATGGCGCAACACAAGATGTGCAAACCCAAGGCACTCTCTGTTACTACTCAACAAATCAGACACTTTTTGTTGGATAATTTTTATTAAAGGTTTTCATTGGTTACAAAAGTATGTGCAAATACAACTCTTTGGGACAGTGGTCCCACAAGAAATATGCAAAATAAATAAACAGGTATTAGAAGCCACCCCAGAACTGGCCCTTTTGAATATTTTCCAAGAAAATAATGCTCACTCACAATATAAAGAGCTTATAACCCACCAACTCTCAGCAGCCAGTAACATCAAAGCTAGACACAAAGAGATCTGTGACCTGAGCCCCCAAACCCTTGTTTAGAAACACCCTGGGGAGAAGTGTCAAACTCTAACCAGTGATGCTTTCATTCTTTCTCTTCAGATGGTCTCATGGAAGTATTGGTATGCATTGGTATGGTATGGTATTGGTATGAGTTTGTGGGTTCCAGACCACTCTAATCTCTGAATCCAATGAGTATTAGAATTTAATCAAGGCTTGGAATGTTAAGCAGGATGCCAGACCTCTCTAATTCCTAAATCCAGCAAGTGATAATCAAGCCTTCAAATTCTGGGAAATATTCAGACTAGAATCCGGGTGTGGTCTAAGGAGAACAAAGGAAGGGCTTTGTGGGAGATGGCACCCTTTCTCTACTTGCAGATAGTGAGAAGGACAAAAGCCAGAGTTAAGAGTTAGCTGTTATGTGAGCTAGATGCTGGAGGCAAAAGCAGCAAGCTGGAAAGGCAGAGAAACACAGCATGATGTTTGTTGTCTGCTTAAATCCAAGGCAGTGGATATGGGAGAAACAAGACCTTCTGGTGTAAAGCATGCTGGTGCAAGTTGAGCCGACATAAAATTAGACTAGTTCCAAGCCACTTCCAGCTGCTGCTACTGCTGTTGCTCTATCCAGAGACATAGCATGGGGGGTGCAGGTGAGCCATGCCCCCAGACACACATTTTTGAGGGGGCATAGAGCCCTGGCAGCTAAGGCGCAGTGCTGAGCAGGTTGGTCTAGTGGGCGGGTGGATGGAGGCAGCAGGCAAGGCAGATCAGGATGACTCAACACCTAGCTTGGGGGAGGCATTCATCAATAGTTTCCCTAGCAAATCATTCATTTTATGTAAACCGCCTTGAGGTTTTTTTCCACAATTATGCAGTATATAAATGAAATAAAAAAATAAAATAATTGTTCTGGCTCCGCTAAACCTCCCCCTTACCAGTCCCCTCAAATGTATGTGTGCATAGGTTTTTCATCACATAATTTCATTTTAAAAATCAGGATAGTATGAAAATCATGATAGTATGAAAATCTACATCATTGTCAAGCC